AATGCGCGGTCGGGGGTGCGCGCGTGTGAGGCTGCGCGTGGCGGCTGCGCGCAGGAGCGGCGCGGACTGCGCTCTCAGGTGGCGCGGGGCGGCTTGGGCCGCGCCCCCACCTCCACGTTTCGCGGTCGCCATGACGACCGGGCCGCTCGCAACGGCGGCGGGGACGAGTCGTTGATGCTGCGAGGCGAGTCAGGCCCCTCCGGGCCTCGCCCGATTGGGTTGGGCCCGCGCCGAAGAGTGCCCCCGCTCCGTACGGACAGGGACTATGAGAAGATGGTCGTGCAGACGAGGAAAACGCTCAGAGAAGCAGCTCCACGGCCGTCCCAGGCTTCCCGCGCCACGCAGTCGAAGCGGCGACGCCGTCCCAAGGCGTCCGGGGAGCCTGACACGGAGGAGGAGCCGCAGGAGGAGAGGGACAGGCTCCAGCTGCCTCTGTCGCCTCCGCGCGTAGGCGGCGGGAACCTGCCCGGGGGCGCCCGGCAGTACTCGCCCCGGAGGCCCCGACACCTGACAGCGCAGAACTGCCTGCCTCCGGGGGTGGCCGCCAGCCCCTCTTTCCTCCACCGCTACCGGTTCCTCCACCGTGTCCTGCAGCAGCTCGGCGAGAAGGTGCACGTGCTGCAGACGCGACGGTTCTGGGGCAGGAGGACCCTCGGCATAGGTGAGTGGAGCAGCAGGAGGAGCCCTGCAAGGGGCCCTGGGGTGGCTGGGCCCGCAGGGGTGTCCCTCCGAGCTCCACGTCCCGAGTGGCTTCGGGAGTCCTGAAGGGGATCCGTTTAACACGCTGCGTTCGTGGGTGCCTTGTCCCAGAAACACAGGTCCCAGCTCTGCAGAATCTGGCAAGAGTTCTTGTTTTAAAACATTTTTGCAGAGTTTTAGGACATAGGGTCAACCCTGTGTCAACAATGTTACCTTAATCAGGGCAGCCAGTTATCTCAGTTCGTAAAAATGAATGGCTGTCTCTTGGGGGACAAGCACCTTAAACAGAATAAAGGAATTTTTTAAAAAATAAGTTAAGATCAGTGATAGTGGAAATAGGGTCAAAGACGACCATACATGGCCCAGTGTCGGCACCCGTTTACTTGCATCTTGCAGTGCAGCTTCAGTGCCCAAAACTGGGAAATTTTCATAGTTAAGCACTTGATAGGTTTGTCTTCCTCCATTTACAGCCCTCATTTTTTGTAGCTTTAAGAAGTAAACTAAGTGTTGTTGCTGTGTCAGTAAAATCACTTTTGAGCCTAGTCCTTGGTCAGACTGGCTACTGATAAATTGAGGCCTAGATAAATGTCTCTTAATGTAAGTTGTAATTTCTTTTCCGTCATCATCAAAGTCATGGAAATAAGAAAATGTGAAAGTAGAGTTAGGCTGAAAGGCAGTGTACAAAGGGATTAGGAAGTAAGTCGAAGGGGTTGATTGGTAATTCAAGCCAGGTGTAAGGCATTTGGACTTCACCCTGTAGGAGGACACTGATTGATTCTTTTATTTAAAAAAATGTAATGAGATGCAATCACATAATGGAAAATTAATCATTTTAAAGTGAATAATTCAGTGGCATTTAGTACACTGGCAATATTGGTACTGAATGGATTTTAAATAAGAGAATGACATAATCAGAGTGTGCGTCACAGAGATTAACTGGGCAGCAGTGTGTAAGATATTGGAAAAGTTTTAACTAAGTCCAGGCAGTAATGGTCTTAAGGAGGGTAGCAACAGCAGGAATGGGAAGGAGAGGACAGAGGTGAGAGTTGGTGGAGACAGATTGACGGGATGGAGGGGAGGGGAGAGGGAGAAAAAAGTTCAGGGATAAAGATTATGGATTTGGAAATTATCCATGTAGAAGTGATAGTTGAAACTTTAAGATGTAGATAGCCAAGGGATACCAATGTGAAGACAGAAAAGGGGATGGAGTAAGATAACTGGGGGAAAACTTTTAAACTTAGCTTTAAGAGATAAGAGGAAAAGGAAAAGACAGGCAGGAGCATAAAATCAGAGTGGTCAGAAAAACAGAAGAACTGGGAGAGATGTGATGGAAGATGAGAGGGGAAGAAATCGAAGTATCTGATCAAATGCTACAGAAAGATTGAAAAGCTTAAGAATTGAAGGAGGTTGTTGATTTCGATAACTAAAAGGCCATTGATTATTTAAAAGGGTTATGGGAACTTAGAAGAAAGAAGCTGGCTAAGAATCTTGTCATTGAATGTGAGGGAAGGGGGTGGTGTTGGGGAATATCTCACAGGTTGAAGGGCTTTTAGATTATGGGAAGTGTTTTAAGGTCTAGGAGAATTCAAGGGCAGGATCAAGGATAGGGGGTGAGATTGAGTTTCCAAGAGAGGGAATAATTGATGGAGCCAAGTCTTGGAATATTTGGGAGGGGTGGAATTAAAGGCACAAATTTGAGAAGGTAACTGTGGAATAAAGGAGAGATTTCCTTTTCTGAGATGGTTGAGAACAGAAAAGCAAGGATTACTATATAGGGAAATGTTTAGGGAGACGTTGAAGTGGAGATAAGAGAAGATGGGAATGCTGGCGTCCAGTGGTCTTTGTTTCAGTAAGGGCTGAGTCACCTGCAGAGGTGAGTTCGATCGAGATAGGATGCAGTGGTCCAGGGGACATGCTTTCCATCACCACAGCTTCGAAAGGTCTTGGGATAAGCACTTCGTGCGTTTAGAATATTGGCATCATTATACCATATCTTTTTATTTCCCCCCTGATGTTGAGTGTGGGGTGAGGGGCGGGAATGAGAGACAGCAAGATTTTGGGGATCTTTGGAAAGCTAGATGGATTTGGTAGTACATTTGTTCATTTCCTTTTCCTTAAATGTCATTTTTAAGAATTTTTGCCAAGAATTTTTGTCAAGAATAAAAGAAGATACAAAGATAGTTGAGTAGGACAGTCTTTGCATATATTAAAGTTAATGAAGGCTTATTAGAGGGGCATGTGATTCAAGTTGAGGTGGAAGGTATAAGGTGTAATTTCGGAGTGGTTCAGAGTATATTAGATAGAGTTTACATAGATAGTGAATGTATATTTTTTCTGTGAAGAGCCAGGGAGTAAATATGTTCAGCTTCATAGGCCACATACCGTCGCTGCTGCTCCTCTTCCTCCTCCATTATTACAGCATTTTAAAAACGGAAATACTGCCCACAGCACGAAAAGAGACCATGGACCATAGTTTGTCCATAGTGGTACAGAACAAATGAATCTTCTGAGAAGGATTTAAGATGAGCCCAGAATGGTTAGCAGTGTGGGAAGAGAGCTGGAGAAGCATGACTGGGAATTTCAACATTGAAATTTTAAAATTTTGTTATTGAATTAATTTGCATTTATTTTGATATCCAAGTTGAGTAATTTTTGAATTTTGTAAGAGGTTAACATTGGTGGTTTGTAAGATGACTTGCGAAGTATTTTGGGGACAACCGTAATTAATGCCATTATAAAATCATGAAGGGAGGCAGGACTTCTGGAATAGCTGAGGAAATTTACTCCTCTGTGACAATAACGATAATAGTTGGAAAATTATTAAAATCGACTTTTTCAAAAGTTTAGAAATTAACCAAAACTTTATAGCGATCTAAAGAGCATTAATTCAAGAAAAGCTGCTGAGCGTCTAAGAACAGCGGGGTCTGTGGTGTTTTAACTTATTCTACCCCATTCCCTCTCCTCAGCCCCATGGTATCTTGAAAACAAGCACCTTCCAGGGGGGACACACTGGGTTTGCAGCTGCTCAGAAAGCTCCATACCCAGAGGACTGCCACTATTTGACCTGTCTCGCAGCTCCCTGGTAAAGCCTCATGCGTGGGGCATTGGCTTGGTGACTCCATGTGAGTCTCCTGGACCATCTAGGAGCTCCTAGGTCTGAAAGCTCTCAAAGAGCTCACAATTTGTCAAGGTTTGAGTTGCATGGTGGGGCTTTCAGATGTGCTGCTGAGGAGGTGATTCTTGCAGTTAACCATCTCTGATGAGCACGAGGGAAAGTGGTCTGGAGGGCTCCTGTTGCCTAGAGCCTTTTCTGAAAGAATCAAGCTGACCTTAGCATATATACAAGTATTTGCTTCTTAAAATTTTATATAAAGGAATAGAGAATAAGAGACGATAAAGGATAATACTGAAAAATCACTAAAAAGGTCAAATCACCAAGAAAGGTCATAATTTCATTACTCTTTTACTGATTGAGTAAGATGTAAAAACCTTTCAAGTCTCTCCCTTTGCTTGTCAGGTCCTCTCTGCAGGGGTAAGTGCTGTTCACATTTTGCTTCGTGTCCTTCTGAACTTTTCTCCACGTTCATATAGACACAGGTAGCCAGTCATCTTGCTTTCTGTGCTCTCTCTCTAGACGTGTAAGGGAATGCATTTGCAATACTTGTTTTAAAAATATTTTATAATAAAGCGTTTTTTAATGATTTTCTTTTTTTCTTTTTCTAGCTGCCTTTGTGGGAATTTTGCACTGGTAAGATTTAGTTGAAGTTTGAAATAAAACTATTTGGATTAAAATTTGCCATCACCATTTGCATATAGTGAAACTTGTGAAACTTCTGGCTGTTTGTGTAACATCAACACGTGCTCCAGCTTACACATAGATATTACTTTTTTACAAACCTCATATCTGAAGCAGCATTTACAAAATAATAGATGCATTAAGGGAATAGTAACTTGTGAATTAAAATATCTTTACCAAAGAATTCAGTACTTTATTTTTTAAAATATCTAGTTTTTCTACTATATTTTGTGTGTTTATTTCATTTAAGACATTTCCTTATGTTATAGTAACTATCTGTTGTTAGTGACATAATTTTAGAGATAAAGTTTTAGGGCAAGTTAGTAAGCAATTTATAAAATTACCTAAATATTTATTATAAAAATTATTTTTTTTTTCCTTTTTATGGCCTTTTAATCTATAACTTCGTTATTTTAGTACTGGTTTTGAAATCTTGTTATAATATGATACTTCATTTTTTTCTTCATTTTTTTCTAGGATACATTTAATAACACTTTTTGAAAATGACCGTCATTTTTCTCACCTCTCATCTTTGGAACGGGAGATGACTTTTCGCACTGAAATGGTTAGGTTCTTTCTTCTAATGAATTAATTTGTGGTTTAAGAATAGTGAGACTATAAGGTAGAAATTTATTAGGGACTTAAATGAATTTTTTTCCTCCGGCTATGACCTGAGTTTGTTATTTAAATAGGATAGTGTTTGGGCTTCTTTTTCTTTTACTTATCTCATCTAACTAATGCAGACTCCCTTTCCTAATTCAGACTTCTTTTTAAGATAACAATGATGAATCATAATAGCTGAGAAAGAAAGAGAACCAAGAAAGACAGCATTGAAAAAGTGATATGGGGGTATCAAATGTTATCAAAAATTGCTTTTTCATTGGTTGGCGTTGGGAGATCCCATGTTTTACCTGGCTCTTTTAATTTAATTTAATTTATTTATTTAAAAATTTTTTTTAGCTTTTTTGATTTCAAGATGATCTCTTAAAAGATATCTTTTGGTATAATTTCCTAATAATTTTTCCATTTTTTGATACTTTATAAAATGGAGATAATGTAATTTGCCTTACGTATGTCACATAATTATTGTGAGGCTTAAATGGAATAAAAAATGCCAGAATTGCAGAATCTTACCTTTAGAAGAGACCACAGCTGTCCTCTGGATCAGCTCCCAGCTAGTTGGAGGCCAAGCGATGAACTGAAACTGGCTCTCCTGACTCTGAAGCCACTGCTTTATTAAGAAATTGTGGTAAAATTTTATTTTAAAAAATTTAAACATAAGTTTTATCATAAAAACATAAGATTTATCATTTTAACCATTTTTAAGTGTACAATTCAGTGGTATTAAGTGCATTCACATTGTTGTGCAGCCATCACCACCGTCCATCTCCAGAACTTTTCCACTATCCCAAACATAAACTCCGTACCCACTAAACACCCACTTCCCCCACTCTACTTCCTGTCTCTATGAATTTGCCCATTCTAGGCTCCTCAGCCACTGCTATTTGATCTTTGTCCCTATAGCTCCTGTAAAGCTTGAAGAATTGGATACATTAACATTTGTATGGCATTTGAATATTTTAAAGGTATTATTTCCAAAGAGTGGATATGAAATATTACTAACTGAAGAGTGTCCCTATAGCTCCTGTAAAGCTTGAAGAATTGGATACATTAAAATTTGTATGGTATTTGAATATTTTAAAGGTATTATTTCCAAAGAGTGGATATGAAATATTACTAACTGAAGAGTATAGCTGTGGCAGGCTTTCATGACAGATCAGTGGATTTAGATAGCAGTTCTGTGCTTCATTTCATTGTATGACAGCTAATCAGTTGACCTCTCTGTTTCTCAGTAATCTCATCTGGAAAATAAAAATGCCAGCCTTATAGGGTTTTAGTGAAAATGAAGGGAGGTAATGAATGGAGCCACATAGTTCAGTACCTGGCACAAAAACAATAGTTGTTATTAATAAAAACTTATTTATATATTCAATATTTCTATAAATATGGACTTTTGCATATTACATCTCCTTTAATTGTTATATCGTCTTGTTCTCCTCCTAAGCAGAAAGGAAAATTCTTACATGAACTCATATATTGTTAGTCAAAACTCTGAGGAATAGCCTTTCAGACATCAGTTAAAACAGATCTTCAATTTAGTAGCTACTAGTGTTGCTTAATCTATCAAAAGTAAAGTATCTGGATGAGACAGGAATGAGTGTAGAGTTGAAGATTATTTTAAATGATTTTTTGGGGGGAGAATTTATTATACACAACATGGCCTTTATTTGCTTTTAGATTTTAGGAAGGAAAGCAGGAAATTGATGAGGAAAGTTATAGAAATAACATTCTTTTGTTAACCCTTGAAGTTTAACTAAACAGCACTTTTACTAGGCTAGTAAAGTCGTTATTTTATATTCTGGAATTATGCACTAAAATAATTCCCTTTTCAGTACACAGCATTTGTGAGCAACAATATAGTATTCACTTTGTGCAGAGCCATTAGATAGAACTGTGAAGTAAGCTCGTGTTATCATGATGCTTCTGATCATTACATGTATTTTCTTAAGAGCCTAAGAAAAAAGAAGTAATCTTCTATATGCAGAGTTGTACAGGGACATGAAGGCATCCCTGTTTATGATAGAATTCATCAGATGCCAACCTCTACACATAATGTGGAGGTAAAACCAGATTTGGTAAAATTGGAAGTACATTGCATACATACTTTGAGGCACTGTTAGAAAAGCTCTTTAAAACATTTGCCTATCCCACCAGCTCTTTATTTTGAAAATTTTCAAGCCTACAAAAAAAATTGAAAGAATAGTACAGTGATAATCTGAACATACATGCTTTTGTGAGACCAAGAATACAATAGCAAGGAGTAATTAGGAAATCTTATTGACCTTAAAAGGAGTTATAAAAATAAATATTTTAAAGTTTTACTAACATCAACAATATGTCTTTTTTTTTTTTAAAGGGACTTTATTACTCCTACTTCAAGACCATTATTGAAGCACCTTCATTTTTGGAAGGACTGTGGATGATTATGAATGACAGGCTTACTGAATATCCCCTTGTAATTAATACAGTGAAACGCTTCCATCTTTATCCAGAGGTAATATTTTGAGACAAATAATATTTTTAGAGTGATCCATTTTTATTGAATAAGAATAGTAAGCATAATGATGTTTATTAAAAAAGAGGGATCTTTTAGCCTTGATTGTATGTATCCTTGTAGTTGAGTAGAGTATCAAAAGTTCCTCTCTTAAAATTTAAAGACCCCAGAAACTGTGCTCACATGAACTTAAAGAACAAACCTTATATGAGAGCAATAGACAAGCCAAATGGGAAAGAGAGTCATGGGAACCAAAAAGTCATGGCCTGTTGGGTGGGCATGATGAACACATGAGGGGACAGTGAAAGTGACAAGCAGGACAGTGACCTTGGAGTTACACGAATGAAGTAAAATCTATTTAGTCACATAGCCAGAAACCCGTGAACATCTTCCTGTGCTTAGCCTGAAAACGTATGGTTTTTAATTCTGCAAGTTCTAGAAATTTGAAAAATGACAAGGAAAATTAAACTCGGTTTATGAATTTGTGAATACTAAAAGTGACATCATGGTAGTGTTTATACTTTTGAGTTTAAAATTATCTCAGAATCCCACAGATTGAGTTACTGCTTTTTAGTCCTTTTTTATATTTTTATAGCTTGTAAAAATTATTATTTTTTCAATTTTGAAATATTTAAAATTATGGAGACTTTGAGAATAATCAAATTTGTGTGAGGAGTCATTGAGAATAGATAAATGCTAATCTTTTGTCATTTTTGCTTCAGATATTTAAAAATAACTAAAATATTATATGGTTAAAGTCACTTTATTCTGCTTCTAGTCCAATTTGCTCCTTTCCCCTTCCCACAAGTATCCTTATAAATTTGATGTGCATGTCCATCCAATCCTGTTTTCAAGGATAATTTTATGTGTTATTTTAAGTGAACATATCACCATATCACTCTACAACTTTTTCCTCAACACTATATTTTTGAACTTTGTGTGTATATATGAGGGTACCTCAAAAAGTTTGTGGAAAAATAGAATTAAAAGATAATATAAATCTTTCCATTGAGTATATTTTTCGTGTTTGTATCTTTAATTTTAGATATGTTATGAATTCCAAAATTTATTTATTATTTCTGATTTTTCTATTGCAGCGGTTCTAAAGTGTGTGTTGTTATATGTGTTTTCTACTAGATATGTGCAAGATTTTCTCTAGGATGTATACATAAAAGTGAAATGGCTATGCTGTAGAGTGTGTGCTTTGTCAGCTTTACCAGATATTGCTAAATTGCTCTCTGAAGCAAATGTAGCAATTCACACTGCCATGTAGGAGAATTTACTTTTTCTCTTTTACTTATTAGATTTTTAATTAACAGATACTGTGATTTTTGCTCCTCCTATGGTTGCAATATGCTTTTTGCTTTAATTTGTATTTCCTTATTAGTTGTAGGGTTAAACATATTTTCATGTTTAATAGAAGTTTGGATTTGTTCTTCTATCAGTAACTGGTTTAAATCTTTGTCACCTGTTTGGTGGTGGTTTTTGTATTGATTTGTTGGCTTAATTAATATTTTGTATAGTAATCCTTAGTAGTAGATGCTGAACATATCTTTTCTCACTCTGTCTTCTTTCTCTCTTTTTATTTGATCATTTTTGTTGCGGTATAACTCACATGCAATAAAATGTACCCATTTTGAATGTACAGTTCTTTGAATTTTGACAAATGTATGAAACTATATAACCATCACCACAATCAAGTTACAGAACATTTTCACAATGCCAAAAAGTTTCTGTGTGATCCTTTGTGGTAATTATCTTTCCCCCATTGAATTGTCTTGGCACATTTGTTGAAAATTCATTGATTATATATTATGTGTGGATCCATTTCTGGACTTTCTGTTACTCTCTTGGTTCATATGTCTGTATTTATGATGATACCACACTGTCTTGATTACCGTAGCTTTATAGTAAATTTGAAAGAAGGTAGTGCTCCAACTTTGCCTTTCCTTCTCAAAATTGCATTTATATATAAATGTTAGAATCAGCATGTCAGTTTCTCCAAAAAATCAAAATCTTGCTGGGATTTTGATTGGGATTACATTGGATTCATATATGTATTTGGGAAGAATTGACATCTTAACAAAATTGAATTTTCCAACCTACGATCATGGTATAGATCTCCATTTTGTTAATTATTTTTAATTTGTCTTGTCAGTGTTTTGTATTTCTCAGTGTACAGTCTTCCCTAAGTATTTCTTTTTTTATTGTTGTCAATGGTATTATTTAAAAATTTTTATTTTTCCATTTTTTTGGGTTGATTTTGCCTATCAACTTTGTACCTACATCTTGATGAAATCACTTAGTGGTTCTAGTAGCTTTTTGTAGATTCCTTTGGATTTTTCTATGTATGTATATGATGATTAGGCAGTTTTACTTATTTTCCTATATATATATACCTTAATAATTTTTAAAACAGCTTTATTGAGGTACTTTTATTGACATACCATACCTGGACATATGTAAAGTGTACAATTTGATAAGTTTTGGCACATGTACCCATTCATGAAACACACTGCAAGACAGTGATCATATCTATCACCTCAGGAGCTTCCTTGTGCTTGGTAATCCATCCTTCCTGCTCCTTTCCACCCACATCCCATCCTCATGAAACCACCAATATGCTTTCTGTAGCTATAGTTTAGTTTGCACTTTCTAGAATTTTATATAGAATCATAGAATTGTTCTGTGCCCAGGTCTCAATTTATGCAGTTGACTGAGTGATGACACAGTCGGTGCTATGGAAAGAAGAATTTATTACTTGCACTTCACTATAGAAGGGCACATGCCATGCCATGCAGGGCCACAGGGGACACAGCAGTTCAGGAGCAGAAGTGTGGGGAAAGCCTACGCCACAGCCTTTACGGGGGTTGCTGTGAGAAAGGCAAAGCAGGACAGAGTCAAAATCCTGTAGACACAGCAGTTCAGGAGCAGAAGTGTGGGGAAAGCCTATGCCACAGCCTTTACGGGGGTTGCTGTGAGAAAGGCAAAGCAGGACAGAGTCAAAATCCTGTAAACAAAACCAAAAGACAGCAGACAAACTGGGAGAACATATTTGAAATCTGTGTCACAGAAAAAGGGCTAATATACCCAATGTATAAAGAACTAGTCACTTATATATTAAGCTTCTGGTTTCACTTTAGAAATGACGAGAGTTGGAAAGAACGACACTCCCATTCCTGCAACAAGAAAAAAGCTGGACACACTGTGGGTTAATGCCTTTCTTGAGCCCATCAGAACACTGAGGTCACAGGGCAAACAACCCACACAAAATTTGGAGAGGGACAGAGAGAAATATAGGACCTGAGCATTTGCTTGGCTGGGGTAGATGCTGCCCAATGCCAGATAAGCCAGTAGGAAAATTAAACTAGACATTTTTAACATGAACTTCTAATGGGTCAGTGTGGATTAGCATGAGATGTGAAGGCCCTGAAAGTCGGCAGGCTCTCTCAGGGAAGATTGGGAAAAGTCCCGAGAAAGCTTCCCTCATGGTGCCAGCTAGGGCAGGGACCAGCAGCCACTGCTCATATTACACTTAGATCCCTGTCCCCAATCTCCCTATGTAAAAAACCCCACGATCTGCAGAGAGAAGGGTATCAAAAACATAGTTTGAAAACACTGGTGGTACACTGTGTGGCTGGTGAAAGAGAGCAGGTGGGGAAAAAATAATTTTTAAAAAGCAGCTGTATCCCTGGAGAAGGGGCAGGGAAACTTGTGAAGTCTGTGCCACTGAGACCCAGGTTCCAATACCTGCCTAAGACTGAGGCTTAATTGGAACATCGGAAAGCCTCTGCCCCCACCCTCCCGCCCAACCACATTAACAAACCTTGAGTAAAAAATCACAGTGGAATATGACTGAGGAAGTTTTGAGGGACAGTTCTCTGTAGGGAGCAGCACAAAAGGAAAACCCAAAACCAAGCTAAAGACAAGGTACCACTAGAGGGATTGAAATCCCTGGTGCCCACAGCAACAACAAACTCCCACTCAGATAATTATAGCAACAGTTTCAAATCCAGCCCCACCCCTGACTAGATGAACACAAATCCCCAGGATAAAGACCTAGCAGAAGGAAAGGTGTATTTCAGGCATAAAAACACTGACCTCTGTATCTGCTCTCCTATACAACATGTTTAGCTGTCAACAAAACGTTGTGAATAGGCATGCCAAAAGACAAGAAAATGCGCAGACTGAAGAGACAAAGCAATTACCAACCAGACTCAAATAAGATGCAGGTGTAGGAACAACCAGACAGGGAATTTAAAATATCTCTGATTAGTATTTTAAAGGCTCAATTGGAAAAGACAGATGATATGCAAGATCAGATAGATAATTTTAACAGAGAGATGGATACTATAAGGAAAAATCAAAGGGAAATGCTAGAAATAAAAAAAACAGTAACAGAAATGAAAAATGCCTTATATTGGCTCATCAGTAGACTCAACACAGCTGAAGAGACAATCAGTGAGCTTGAAAATAGGTAGATAGAAACGACCCAAAGTGATGGAATGGCTATTATCAAAAAGACAAAATAAATGCTGGTGAGGATGCAGAGAAAGAGGAGCTCTTTTACAGCGTTGGTGGGAATATAAGTAGAGCCATTATGGAAAACAGTATAGAGGTTC